AAAATCATATCGTAGCGCTCCTAGGGCACGGTATGTGCGCAACAGCCATGTCCTTAGAATCCCCAAAACAGTTTAGTTTTGTTTGTGCTGGTTTCTCGTTTTGTTATATATAAAATATATAATATATTATAAAACCGTAGAAGGTGGCTGTTAAAGTGCAAAAAGAGGACAATGAATTTTGAAAACATTTACTTTATACGTATTGGTTAACCCTCTACAAAACACAATTAGCTGCATAATATTTCTTCTTTCTGTTCTGATCAACATTTTCAAATTTTTAATTTATCTTCTCTTTCTTAGTCTATAACCAAATCAACGCTCAGCTTTAAGCATTAACAGCATAATCAAAGTGGGATTTTCTGTCAGTCATCATCCTATAAATAACTTTTTGCAAGGATCACATACCTCAACATTCACGGACTTAAACTGATATTCAATAATGGGATCGCAATTAGAAGCTTCTCGTAAATAAGATAAGCTTTCACACGCTTCGGTAGAAGAATTGAATATCACGGAGCCACAACCAGTAACAGTGGGAGATATACCTAGATAAATGATTGTTGGGTGATGATTGTTTGAAAGGGCGCAGCAGTGGATTGTAGAAGGCTCAATTCCAAAAAACCTGATTCCAGAAAATTTTTATTATTTCTTTACCCATTAACTTTGCCAAAGACGAGACTCATAATATTATCAATCTTTTCGCAATTCCAAAAACAATTCAAGAAAGAAAAATTTTCTCTAGATTTTTGCAGATTGCATGGCAGCTAAAATGAAATGTTGGCGAGACTATCATATAAGCAGTCCAACTCAAATTACGAGCTTTTTTTCAACTCTTGGTGCCAAGGTACATATACTGCAGGCATATTAAGTACATGCATTTGTCTACCTCGAAAAGGGTTTTGTTAATGATTTATTGTTATTTGTACGAAGTGTGCAAAGAAAAGGAAAATGGTAGGGTGCTAAGAACATCGCACCAAAATTGAAAAAGAAGCGCAAGATTTATGAGGGAGTAGCATTTTTTGTTAGTCCGCCAAAATTTCAAATGTCCTTGAAGAAAGAGAGATATTTTGGGTGATAATATAAGCATTCGTAAGCTAAACTGCTCTACTTCTAGCAATCGGGTTCAATAATTTCTTTCTTATACTCTAGAAAGCGAAAGAAAAGTAAAACTCTACATGAAACTTGTAACAAAGAGTGTGAAGCGAATTTGGATTAGTTGTTCTGATTTCACTTTTATACTTTATTTCTGACGACATTTATAACGATAGTTAGAACAACAAAAAGACTACATTGCTTATAGAAGTGTTGCAGATTTTTCTGTCTTAGACTTGTTGGAATCGTATTCCCTTTCGCAAAAACGACAATTTATGAATGAAAAGCATCCAATACTACCTGCCTTCATAGAGCCAAGGCCTAAATTGGCAAAAGCTCTATGTTTTGAAAAGCGATTATGAGCTTTATGAGATGCTCACCTGCATAGACCATATAGACCATATTGGATAACGATGTGAGTGTCATAAATTCTGCTGCAAATAGCACTACCGTGCAGTACCATCCGAGTGTAATAAATTCATCGAGGTTTCTCACCTGAAAAAAGTATGAGATTATTGCTAAAGGCTAAATTCTATTAGAGCATTTTCTTGAGTGGAGTTTGTTGGCGCATACCATACTTATCTTCCCGTGAGAAAGGTTCCAATATATGTACTCATCAAAAGTGCGTACCTGCTTCTCCTCCTCGAAAGGTTCACAAAGTTTCTGTTCTTCAGCTTCACTATTATTCGTTGCCATATGAGATCACTAAATTTGCATAATGTATAATTAATAAGAGCAGAATGACACGTTACGTAGATTGAGCGAACTATTAACGGCTCTCTTGCAAAATATCCGTTCATTCAAACATGGAATAAACGTTATTTTTGCACTAGAAACTGTTGTTAAGTTATGTATGACCCAAATTGAATCAATGCTTGATGATCCCAACTCATCTTATTATTTATGCAATTTTCAGAAGAAGAGAACAAATTGGGAGCTTTCTCATCTGTAACACAGTTTACCGAGCAGGAACCAAGGTTGCTAATGATCATTGGTTAATATTAATTTTCTGGCAACTTCGCTCTGACGGGAACTCGTACATCAACAGTAACTTCAACAATGCCAATTTGGAGCATAAATATTCCTGAAGATGTAGGAAGGATTCTTTGCTTTTTCACTAGCACCCACTTATGTAGAAAACCTAGTAGCACTCGCGCAACTTCACATGCAACGTATTTTGAATTAGTCCCCATAAATTTATTCTTACTGAAACTCGTTATGGTTCAAAACAGTTGAATAAAAAATGGTAAGGTTTGAGCGGCAACTGTAAGATAGGAAAAAGCTACTAAGCATAAATGTAGAATGTAGATTTTACAGTGAACTACTTGATTTTCAGGGAAAAAAGTTAATTCAAGAATAAATCTGAACTTGGCTACCCGATAGAAACTATTAATGATGAAAATTGAACAGCTCTACAAAAGAATTAGATGGACAAAAGGGCAATAATGATAGATCAGATCTGAACATGGCAAGTTACACAGCGGTTGTCAATTAACTTCTAGGGAAGGAAACCCTGACCAATAAGAGCTATACAGTTTTGAATTTTCAGTAGTTGAAATAAATACCTTTTTTTGAATTTTTACAATCCACAACCGTTCTTTTAAAATATGGTTATAGAAACGTTATAACAGCTTTTGTTGCAAGCTCAAAAAAGTCTGGCGTTCTACAGCAAATGTGCTCAGTAACAAATAGATGCTATATGATTGTTTCTTATTATAAACCAGCCTTTATCCATATTTACCTTGCGATAGATATAGGATATCTTGAAAAATAATGTAATATAATACACTAGGTTCGATTTCCGCTAGTACTTTGGTTCTTGTCGAAGTTGGCGGTTTTTTCCACTTTCGATACTTTGCATTTAAAATGGATAGCAAAATTGGTCAACATTGTACTCAAAATCTGTTTTGTTAGGGATGTGGCTAAGAGAATCATCCTGCTCCAA